CCAGCCACTCTCAGAGCATGCCGCTTGGAGTACTCACCGCTGAAAGCGGAATATCACCCGCTCTTTTGAGCAATTGGTAATTCCCATCGACCAAATCGAGTGCGCTGTACTTTGTACACCCAACCATGTTGTTCCGAAGAATATTCAAAATCACGTCTGTGTCGGAATGGTGGCAGCGTTGAGCATATTGTCAGTGTGAACGATACGCCACTTGCCGTTTGGCTTTCGGACACAAAACGTGGGTGCTGAATGGGAAGACTTGCTATCACGTACCGTTCTTGTGTCGTGCTTCGCACGGAGGAAGGGTGGGATCGGAGACAAAAACCTATCACGAGTGAAGAATAAGAAGGCCACCAAGAAGAGATTTCGTCCAGTATTTCGCGTGCCAACGATCAAGGTACAAGTTGTATTGATTAAGGAAGTGTTCAAGAACAAGACGCTGTAAGCAAGTTTATACATGTCGTGGCGTACAACAAAAAAAGTATTTGTTACGTAAAGGTTGACAATCGTTCAACTTCAGTAAAAGATTATTCTCCTTGTCGGAGATAGCAAGAAGACGCTGAAGGGTAGCTTGGTGAAAGGCAAAATTTCGCAAATATATGCGATTGTCGAGGAAACTATCGACGATGACATCAATACTGCGGAAGTATTATATGGAAACACATAGAAGAAAAGGTGTGCTGAGCAGTCGTGGGACGCTCTAAGCTCAAACCCCGTGTATGGGCTTATAAAGGAATATGCTGATGTCACGGCCCATTGAGAGAGTTTGCACCGAGTTACTTTGACGATATATTCGTTCATAGTAAGAAAATGGGTGAGAAGTCTGATGTCGATGTTCATCTTGATCACCTTCGTCAAGTCTTCCAAGCTGTGCGAGATAAAAACCTATGCTTATCACATAAGCGCATTTTTTTCGCACCAGAGATCTCCGTTCTCGGCTTACGCTCGTGTAGATCCGGGGAAAGCCAAAGTTATCAATGATAGGCCTGTGCCATACAATGTGAAACAGATGAACAGTGGATGCGCTTGAACAACTATTTGCATTACACGGGCAACTATGCAGCGTTGGTGCAACCTTTTTAAAGAAGAACGTTCAGAGATAATAGTCAAAATGTCACCACGGGGTATTTGCCAAAGTGAAGAAGAGTCGAGCTCTAATCTTGCGATTACAAACTTTGATATGCCTTTTCATGTGTTCTGCGATGCACGTATTATGCCATCGGTTGTGCGTTGTTGCAAAACGATGATGAGGGTCAAATGTACTTGCTTTGTAAGGTGCGCTTTGCGATCTATACACATCAAGCCTCACTGCGTTTGGCCAAATCTCCTCATTTATTGCAAAGAATGGGTGGGTGGGTTTCCTTCTTTGCGGAGTACAACGTTTTTTTACACTACAAAACAAACAAGACGAATATATTTTCCGATACGTTGTCAAGGCGTCCGTATTATAGTCCAAATCCCAGGAGCGAAAACATGTGCGAGTCAAGTCGACAATGCAAAAATGCCCAGACAATTATAGTGCAAGCTACGAATACAGTGCGCGAAGAAATTGGCGGAGGGTACAAGTCTGATGAGATGTGTTAGGACTTACTGCGGTATTTTAATGAACCTCTCGACAAAGCACCGCAAGGTCTACCGTCTCGCACAAGATCGCGTGCTCACCGCTTTGGAGTACACGGCGGATTGTTGTGCTGTGCGACTAAACACGGGGGTACAGCACAAGTTTTTGTTCCACATGACGAAAGTTTCCGTTATTTTCTCTTAAATACGTACCATGACAACCCTAAGGATCCCCATCTAGAATGTGAGAGAATTTTCTCAGTCTTTCCCGGGATTACTATTGGCCACACATGTAGAAGTGGGTGCGCAAGTATATGAGGACTTGTGAGATTTGCCAGTGAGTGAAACCATCGGGTTCCACTCAGGCCCCACTTCGATCGTTGGCAGTACCAACGGATAGCTGGAAGTCTGTTAGTATGGACTTCATATTTAAACTTCCGCTTGAGACACATGGACGCAGTGGCATCCATGCGTTAGTGGACCGATTTAGCAAGATGGTCCACCTTGCACCTGTTTCGGACAAGATCTTTGCCGAGAAGACAGCTAAGGTCTTTGTAAACGTTGTTTTCCGTCTGCATGGCCATCCTGCCGAGATCGTGTCTGACCGTGATACCCGTTTTACGTCTAAATTTTGGTGTGCACTGTTTAGTCCGTTGTGAGAAAAATCTGAAACCGTTCTTTGCCGTTTAGGCGAAGATTGCTCTTCCATGTTGGCTTGTTAACTAGATCGCTTCATTGTTGATCGGAAGGTGAACCGCTCCAAAAATCTGCAAAAGTATTAAGGTACTTTGACTTTTAGGAGTGGATGATGTAATGGGCTACACTTAGCCATTACATGAAGGTTCCTTCTACATGCATTGTGGATATTGATAACAGTATGGTGTTCCCAGAATCAAACGTGATAACTTATATAAAGTTACAAACATTCTGTATAATACAGAATGCTGGTTCCTATTTAAGGGTCTTTACTGGTGACGAGACCGACGTGTCTCTCTCTTTAGAAATGGGTGGTCCCTTCTGCATAATACTTCTCACAAAGGTTGAAGCTCAAACTTTTGAGGCTCAAGCTCCGTACACCCAAGATCTTGTATCATTTGAATTTGAGATTGAAGCTCAGTACACCCTTGATTTATAAATCAGGCACCTTAGGTTTTATCAGTAAAGCCTCTAGGAGCCCTTCGGGTGTTTTGCATGTAGCTAGGAACCATAACTCATTAATTCAGTTGTAAAATAGCCTTACATCAAGTCGGAACTGTCCTTCTTCCTCCACGTCAAGGATCGCTTCCTCGTCGCACAAGCGTGTGTGTTGTGCTTGAGGGACTGTTTGTAAACAGCGCCCTCATACACCAGCCCTCTGACAAAGACAGGAAAAGCTCTATATCGAGATTCAATATGTTGAGATGGCCATGAGATTGGCTCAACTCTGAAAGAATCATCAGCGCACTGTGTATGTGGACTCTATGCTAGTAGGTTGCACGAGAGAATGGGTACTTGCGTGCGGTGCCTTTGTTATGGAGGCATTTCCAATATGTGAAGTGGAAAAGCGAGATAAGTAGAGAAATTCCTTTTTGCATCGCCATACCAGGCGTATTTTGTGCGATCAGAATTCTTGGCCGCTCGGTAAAGAGCATTAGCAGACTACGTATATGAGTACAGAAATTTGATATCCTGGAAAGCGACAGCCCCTCTCCTATAGGCGGTACTTTGACCATCGCAGAAATTCGAGTGCTCAAATGTTCATGAATCACAAGAGCTCATGCCGGACCTTTGTAAGACGCAGCGGTCCTGTTTCTCCTTAAAAAAGAATTGGAGTGGAGGTAACCTTTTATAGCATCCATTGCTCTTTTTGTTCTTGCTGTCGTCTCTTATAAAGAAGTGAAGCTTCAACTTGTGCAGAATTTGTGCAATTTTCTCATATAGCTGTACAACGGCGTTCCCAGCTACGCCATGAACCATCAATTGCGCCAGCATACGAGTGAAAATATGGATGTCTATTTTCTCACCAGTTGTACCTGAATATAATATCTGAAAGTGTTTCCTCAGCAATCTTCTTTCCTTATTAATAGCAAAACTCGTTGGTGGTGGAATCACAACTTTCACCATGATGTCTGAGTAGATGTCACACTTTTTGGTAGAAGACGTCTCATGAATTCGCAGTAATGATGTTGATCGATTAAGGCCTGCAACTCAGTCAAAGAGTTGGCTGAAGCAATTCATTATCACCCATCAAGCGAATGGGAACTTTCTACCAAAGCGTCAAATTAGCCGCAAATCATTTAACGAGCTGAAGTGTTTTATCCACGTCTTCAGATTTGCGGCGCGGTTTCAATGAAATAAAATGCAATCCTTGGTTATTTTTATTAATTTCCTTAAAATCTATAAATGGCTTGCAGAGCTGTTCAGACGCCATTCCATCGACACATTACTCTCGCAACAAAAGCAGGCAGGCTTCATGTCGACTCTCACATCTGCAGATCTACACGTCAAACGTAGCTCCACTCGTCTTCACGCTCCTCCTGGTGGTGTTTCCAGTCTTTCTTTCGGTAAAGCCGTAACATGTTGAGATATATTGTTATGATACATCTAACAATTTATTAAGGCTGTGGTGGTCTCGGTGCCACAGAACCCAACGAAGTATCCAACAAATACGAATGTGGTAGTTCTCAAAGGTTTCCTGGTCAGCACATCTCTCCGACAGTCAATTTTAACAGCTTGAGCGACTATTGGAATCAATCGAACGACAACTCCCCGCAACAGCACCGACACCTTGAAGAGTCTCATAATCAGCAACAACACCAGTTTGAAACTTCTTACAAAGACAAGAGTGATAACAACAACCACTGCAAATCGAAAGACGATAACCCAGACGTTTTCCAAATCGCTCGCCCTCCGTCCAGCAAGCTTAGTTCTTGTTCCAGTATTCGGTCCATTTCCAGCTCAGAATCTTGGGGCTCGCAACCCCCCCTCACTTCCTCTAAACGGGATCAAAATTGGGAAAGGAAACGTCGGATATGGCTGATGCACAGGAAAAGCAACAATAATGGTGACAGACCCACCTCTTCTTTCATTTCGAACAATGATCTATGCGGGGAAGTATGTGATGATAGCATTAATCCGTCATCTCCACTTTCAAAGCTCGTGCAACAGCACGAGCTGCAGCAGCAACAACAGCAACTATTGACACCTTACACCGACAATCAACGTCTTGATTCGTCCCGAACTTCTCGTAGTAGCTCTGGCACTACCTACCTCAAAGATTATCAGTCCCATCCGCACCACCTGAATCAACAAAAGGGGAAAATAGGCAACCCAGCAGGTGGATTTGGATTCGCCACTGCGCCCTCAACCGCCTCATCGACCAAATCTGGCCGCAGACAACCACCGGGAGGGCAATGCCAGTGGTCATTTGGATAAAAGTCCCCAACATTTGATATAACAAAAGTATAACTTTCAAACATTCGTCGAAATAATGCAGGATTAGTGCGCTTGAATATGAAGTGTCGAAATCGCTAAGAGTATCAGCACTATAAGCTTAAACATTTGTAATGAAGACAAATAAAGATATTTAGGCCCAACAAACGAAGCGTCGTCGGGTTAATTGACATACTGTTCTGAATTTGACCTTGTGGTGCGAATTGGAAGTGAAGTACCAAATGTACGTGTCAGCTAAGATAGCTCACTGCTGTACAACGCTATAATGAAGATGTTAGATGGCAACATCCACCTCTGAGGTCGATTTCAGGATGTTGTGTAACTGATTGAAAATCTTCTATCAGGGAATTTCTGAAATTGGTGAAACTTATAAATCATATGCCGCTTGAAGGAATGGACGATCACGATAAGGTTCACTCACCAAAGAATTGGAATTTGGCTTGTTGTCCTGTTAATTTTAAAGTTTGGCTTTTACACAGGAGTTGATTCATATTGCTAATACCCACAAATTTGCAAAGATTAAGAAATTTGGTAAGGAATAGGTCTTCATTTGCTCGACTGGGTAAATGCACAAATGGTAACGCTTCATGGTCAGAGTTTTATATTTGACGAGATAGAATGTAAGATTTTGATTTGCGACCATCTTTTTTCAGTTTTGATGAAACTTGACATTTCGACTGCAGTTCGAGTAAGATATGGTCACAGTCAGCAGTCGCATGTCGAAAGCTTTCTGAGAAATGTCTTTCCAAAGCATCTCACATTGTGCTCGAGAGCTCTCGATTTGAAATGTCGCCAATCCAATAGATGCCGGGCAGTGATGTAGTAGTCCAGAGTGTTCATAGGTGACCGCTTACATCAAGACAGCTTTACAATGGATGTGGCTAATCGGACGATCATTCAGATGTATGGCTTGAGGGAGCGTTTTCTGGCCCCGACCATAACAGCATCAGGAAGAAAAAATAAACGAATTTAGAATATTCGTTCTCGAATCCCTACTCATCCCTCCGAAAAGGTTTTTGCGGAAGCAAATATTATAAAGCTTCTTCTGCTTGCACTCGTATCTCCTCCTCGACGCTTCTTCTCTTGCCATTACCCTTCGCTCTGTATCCATCAATCTTCCTTTTCCTCGCAACTGATGAGTACCGAGGACTGGAGCATCCGCTAGTAATATCACAAAGACCATATGGAAAGCAAGCACTAAGCGTCCACGGAGGAGAGAACAGCCATCCAAAAACGGCTGAATGGCTCTCACTTTAGCAATTTACGCAAATGATTTACCTCTGTCTACCTCTTGTCCAGTAGAGTGAAAAAAAACTCGACAGAGCTGTGTACCCAGCTTTTGGCGCCATCTTATGACGTGCTGTTTGATGGGGTGTTGAAAGACGAATGTGCAAGGATCGAACAAATCATTCATCCTTACCTAAAGACCAGCGCAGCAGCATCATTTACTGTCGTGTGTGTCGGATGGACGAATACTATAAAAGAATTTTTGGTTAACGTTATAATTTGCTACTCCAACGCCGATTGTCTGAAAAGGTGTGGATGAGGCGCAAACAGAGTACATAGCAAAGAGGGTATCGATGCTATCGGCGGGGTTGTAAATTACGTCCGATAAGCCGTAGGATTTTAGCTGTAGTATCTCAGCAATGAAGAAGGTCTGGAGGATACAAATAGATTTTCCGGCGCTGGTTATCTGAATTATCTTCTGCACGGTTGACTAGTCTAATGCGAAAAACTCAGTATTTGCTTAGGAAAATGATGGAAGAGGAATGCTTACTCCTGACATAAGGCAATTTTTACTTCTAAATTTGATGAAATTCCACGAAGTTTTACTAGAGTTCAATTAGATACTTGTCAACTTTCAAAGCGACTAGCCAACACTTGGAGATAACAATTCTGTCATCAAGTGCATAGGAATAGTTACCATTTAAGACCTTTAAAACCGACTTTTACTAAGTGAAGAGCAGAATACGCTTAACGTGTAAGAAACTCTTCAAAGCAGGTCTAGAATGTTCTTCGAACTTGCTACTCCTGGTCCGTTGCCTTGCCTGCAGATTTGTCATGACGCGTAGGAACTCAATTTCTTGAGCTTTATTAAAAAGGTGGCGGGGACTGCGCGGGTGGTACAAAGTCGAAGCTCCCCTGTGCAATGTACACGCCAATACCGTTGCACATGGTTGCTCTCCTAGTCGATTTCTGGATCTATTCGTGAAAGGATCGTATCATCTGGGAATTTGGAGCCGATTTGATTAATCACTTATCCTTGGAACAACTGAACACGCTCGGAGAATTACTGTATAATGTTGGTGCCGAAGAATGCTGGGGTGGGCGGTCCAAGGGCAAAAAGCGACAGCAATCACTTGCTTGGAAGGCATTCACCAGCTGCTGGTAAAAGCACACCGGCCAGGCGAGTGTGGTAAAACAAGTATTATCAATCGTCAGCCGATACTAATACTCAGGCTCTTTAAGGGCAGGATGGAGAACATCTCTTCTACCGGATGAGGAAAGTAAAGATGGCCAGCAATCCGGCCATGCTCAAAGGTTGCAACAGTGCATCGATCTCGCGGTCTCCAAACTAGGATGTCACTCACAAGAATAGACACTAACGTGCAGTAGGACTGCGGAAAAGGTATTCGTAACATGTGAGGATTTAAAGCGACATGCGCGACGATGTGTCGCGGGTCTCAAGTGGTTATCTCGGATGCGTAACAAAGTTTTGTCTATTTGTCGAAGTATGAAACGTAACGGACAAATTTAGAAGCTGAGAGCTCGTATCGCCGCAACGGCGCTCTTACCTTTCCTGAGGGCATTAAAGCCGCCATATTAAGGAGGGTCTCAAGCCAGTGTGGATCGCGGCTAGACTTTCGCATCCACTCAGCCCTTTCCAAGGAAGTGGTGGGTGTCGCACTGAACGCGGAGTAAAGATTTTGTGCTATGAAGATATGTAAAATACATGCGGTAGATGCCCTACGAGAGCGCCAGAGATATCAGACGCCAATCATGGTAAGGAGATTTGGAGAGATCTCTTGGTATGCGAGAAATATCGTAATACCTGCAGATGGTGTATTTATATAAGTACAGAAGTGTTGAGGAGTTCGAAGGATCGACCTCCCAAAGGCGGAAGAAGATCTTCCCGCGGAAAGTTGTCGAGTCCCACGCGGTTAAATAGGAAAGACTGAGTTCTGTTGTAGTTTGCGGAGGTAGAGGTCAATATGTCTTAGCCGTCAAATAGCGGCCCAGTCATAGAAAAATGATAAAAAGCCAAAATTGTTGATTGTTAATATCATTATGAGTGCAATTAGGTACGACGTCGAGAGCTGTAGACAGTAACTAGAGATATCAGAGATGACAAGTAAGAACGCGATATCCTTGCGTCTTGTGACGGGGACATGTCAACGTTTTGTTGAACCTTCAAGTGAATTCGTGTTTTCGACAAGCGAGACGTTGCCTTGTCCTAGCCCTGAATCCGTAATTCAGTCTCATCCTAGACATGGCTTGGCTAGAATGCGATCATTCATGTATCGACTGGAAGTTGAAGTTGATTGGTGCCACAATTTTCTCGAGGTGGATCTTTGGAGAGTCATAAGCACGGCTCCATTAGAAAGCAGGAGTGGTATAAAACCAGGATAGTTTCGGCGCAGGATTTGAATTGTTCACCAATCATACCCGAGTAGTGCTTGACTGGAAGACGCGGTAGTGAACCACGGTGTCATGTTCAGTCAAATAAAAAGTATTATGGCGTCTTCGAGGTGTATCTTTTGGAAGAGATAAGCATAGCTGTATGTCCTGGTCCTTCATGGTAAGTCAAGTTGTATGTCCTGCGAGAGCCGGAGGGGAGGGAAGTCGATTGCGTGTCGTGGTCCTCTATGATACGTACGGTAGATTTGAAGCTTTGACTGTAAATCGCAATATAGAATGCCGGATGCTGAAGTTGTGATGAATGAATCATCCCCGTCGCGAAATTACGGCGCTATTCAATCGTAGTCCTGTGTGATGCTCCCACCATGCAGAGCAGAAAAGCTCCACGTATTTGCGACGAGAATGATCATCCATTATTGACTGGCATGATCCTTAAAGCTGTGCCCTTCACTACATCTGGATGAAGCTATCATTAAACTAAAAAGTTTATCAATAATTGCAAGGCGATAAAGTCACAAACATTGCACGGTTGCATCGAAGAATGAGCTGGCCATATCATTCGTCAATGATAAATTTTTGTTGAACTACTCGCGAAAGATTTCGTGTTAGGAGTGGCACAGATATCCGCAGAGGTCCAACTGATATTTTATTTTTTGTTGAAAGAATACTTCAAGGTGGTGATAGGAAATCTAACACGTGCTTAACCGAAGATAAAGAAGTGTGTCACGAAATTATCTCAGTTTTGATGACGCAACCAATCAGCCCATATTGTGATCGTGGACAAACCGGTTCGACAATATATTCAGCCATAATCGTGTGGAGAACTCTCGGGTTGAAGGTCATTAGAGGTGAAGAATCACATTAAACTTTTTTGAGCAGTGCTTGACTTTATGCGCTTCTATTATCTGTTCGCTTATATGGACAAGTTTGTCTTCGTACAAAATCTAGTTTGTTGCCTTGTGATATGGCAGTTCCGTTCCATCAAGCTAATGTTGTTGTGTTTTGTCCAATGAATCTGTCTTCGCGAGACCTATAAAAGTAGCTGAACCTTTTGTGTGCACTGTTTAGTCACAGCAAGACCCGTCACAAAGCGGATTGAAATGGATGTAAAACGGTGTTTGCGGCAAATCACCGGCCTCTATTGCTGCGAATGAAATCATCACGTGCCCCGATTCTGGCTCTTTCAAACCCAGATCAGTAGCCATTTTTTGCTGGCAACGCTGCAGTTGTTGCCAAAGACGAATTTATCTAAGTTGATGTCAATGAGCGTGGACGCGTGGTCGGGTTTGAGCCTCTCTGGCATAAATATGCAGAAAAAAACTACTTCTGTTTAGGATAAGAAGCTGTATAAAATATTGTACACCCTTGTCAAGTATAGGATGCAGCCTCTTGGGCGTAAGTCATTTGTGTTTTATACAGATCATGCGTCTTTGTGCGCGACGTTGGCCAAATCCTTCGCAGAAAATGACACGATGATTACCCTATTTGTCAGCATTACCTGCGAAGTAAGGAATGAGATGCGTAAAATAATGTGGGAGCAAATGCGTTTTCGAATCGCCCCAATTGTTAAATATGAACTCTCTCATGTCACCGTGGCGTTTTTGCCAATTGACGAGGCGATACTTATAGCATACAGGTCAGGTAAAACATGTACTGTGTTGATGAGGTTGTTTGGAATTAGGGGGGGCGAGAGTTTTATCGAGGTGCGCAGCCTTACGTTTCCATTTTTATTCTTTATTCAAGGCTTGCAGTATCTCGGCACTGACTCACTTGTCACTCATCTTGTGGGGGCACCTCGTTGACAGAACCACACGCTCTGAATACTGTACGCAACACATGATATGTCCACCTCAAAAGAGACACGGCAAAAAGCTCCTTCAGTGCTTATTATTGGTGTCCCGACGTGTACAAATCAGATCTGTGCACTTGTGAAATGTATCATTAATTTTATATCGTTCGCCCCACGTGTCAGCACTTTTGGACAGTCTACCTATGCAGACAGAGTGTTGACAGTCTATAAACTTGAAAGTTCTTTTTGGCTTTTCATAAGGCGCGTTCGGTTATGCTGGTGCTGTGGTCTATATAGACCGTCTAAGCAAGACGGCACACCCAGCAACAGTGAGGGTTTAGCGTACCCGTTCCTACATAAATTTGTAAGCGGTAAGCCTTCTTGATCGCCACTGTGTAGAATAGAGATTCGCGCTGTAAAGCAAAGTTTTGGCAAACTTTATTCAGAGTGATACGCACCAGATAAAAGAATTCAAGTGCTGACCAGATGGTTGGACGTAACGCGCTATTTCGTGGTAAAAAGTCTTCAAAGCAAATTCGCCGTCACTGGTCGAGTGTGCATTGAATATCGCAATACATGCCTCGAAGGGCTCACGTGATTTGTATCAATGTTTGGCTAACGAGTTTCTTCGACACTGTCACAAAGTTTGGAGAAAGCTGGTAATCGTATTTGGTCTGCTTACTCTTCTACATCAGCCAGGTCACACTTCGTTGCAGAATTATATATCAATAAAATCGATCGTGATGCACCGGGCTACAACGATGTGCTTGCGAGCCAGGATATTTTAAAGCAACACGCCGATGCTGCAGGCAGACGAAATGCACAGAAATGTGTTTTGAGGTGAGAGAATTTTGAAATGCATCTGACATATCAATACAAGCAGTGGCGGTGCCCATTAGACACAGTAAATACCACGTTATATCAAAATCTTCGCGGTCGTAACGATAAAGGTTTGATGTTATGTATCTAATATCCCAAAGATAATACGAACACAACCTTCGTTGTATGTGGGCTATCTAAATCCATATCAGGGTCATGCTCTAACTTGCAAGTCGGTGACAAAGCGCTCTGTTGCTATCTTTATACTCTTTTGTAGATCTGTGGGTAAAAAGCGCTCGAGCAACGTTCTGGCGCCTGTTTCGCTCTCCGTGTGAGTGGAAGGTCTGCAGGCAAAAGCGTCGCATCTGTTCAGCGTGCAGCTATTAATGAGCTGAAATAACGTCAGGACGTAATGAAGTTGTCAAAAGTCAGTGTTACTCTCGTGCTTGTAGACGATCAAGCATCTCGAGCTTACCTGTCCTATAGACGGTGCGCGGAACATTGTCATGATATTTACGGCGAAGAGCTCCAACACTTCCCATCGTGAAAAAAGGGCACGTAATGTTTAACGGGGTTACACATACCCTGGTAAGAGGAGTGTGTGTCACACGAGATGGGCATGGTGTGACTGCACCCAGGTATGTGGCTGGGTAGCCAGTAGTTATGCATCTATTTCGATTTTACTATATATATTTAGGAAAATCTATACATTTAAAATTAGGCAGCTTTGCCGCAGATAAATCTAAATAAAGTCAGTTCATGATTAAAATGGGAGAGCTAACAAGCCTTGGGTTAAGGCAATAAGTACTCTTGGAGTAAGCGAATTGCGATCCGCTAAACTCGTACTTGTTCTAAGTATAGAACGAAAGGTCGGTGATCTTACTTACGCTTCCTAAAAAGCGCAAAGCTACGGCAGCCCCGTTGCACTTGGCTGCTCTTGCAGTCAATCTACACATGAGTCGCTTAGACTGATCCTCCGTGAGGATGGAACAGTTTTCATCTTTGCTTCAGGGCATGCAGGATGGGCTCGATAAGCTGATGTCCTTGTTCGGCCTTGAGGGCGTGCAACACCTTGCGGCGCAAGACCCGAGGCAATTGGTGTGCGTCTAGAGGCATTTTCAAGTTACTTAAACGCACTACTAGATCACCTGCAGCAGATGATTTCTGCATCATTTGCGTCTATGACGCCACCATCAGTGACGGATGATTCTCCCCGCCCTG